ATTAGTAATATGCATTGCTAAGAACTTCATTTGAACAACTTTAAAGGTGATTTTCTCAATATTTAGATTTTTTTGGACCCTCAGATTCCAGATTTTCAAATAGTTGTATCTCTGCCAAATATTGTCCTATCCTAACAAACCATACATCAATGGAAAGCTTATTTATTGTATACATCTCAATTTAAAAAAATTTACCCTTATGACTGGTTTTGTGGTCCAGGGTCACATATATATAATGCAAAAAAAATTTTTTTTACTAGTTTCCATTTTCATAAAAGTTTTCATTAGTGATTATAACCTTGACACACACACACACATGCACACAGCTTACTCACTCTGACTGAATGTATTTGCTGCTGTTTACAGCACCTGCACACACACACACACACACACACTGAACGTATGGCGGTCTGCTTGCCATTGTAATGTTCTGCTGAGTAAACAGCCCTTGAGCAGACAGAGAGAGCTCCCGGTGTGAAGCACAGCTCTCACACTCACAGCAGCACCACACACACAGTGTTTTCATCTTCCTGTTCTCAAATATAGTCCTTAAGCTTTTCCTGCCAAAATGTTTAATGCTGAAATAAAACACTCATCTTACTATAGCGCAGTGTTGATTACTCTTTATTTTCCTTTATCTCTCAGGCTTTATCTCGCTCTCTCACTCTGCTTTCGCTGTCACACAGTGACTAATATACACTTACAGATGGAGGGTGAAAATGAGCCTCTGTATCTTTTCTGTTTTGAGTTGAAGCCCTCCGGCTGTGGATGCCCACGCTCTCGCTCTCCACAGCGCACACATGCCTTCATATCTTCATCAACACTCTCGCTTGCTTTCACTAAAAACAATGCACTCTAGTGGAAGGGTTTAATTGATAAAGTGCAGCTCGCGTCACCCTGCCTGCCACACACACACACTCACACACACACGTGGCTTTCACGATCATGTGAAGAACACAGTTCACATCACGTGTGCTCGGAGATTCAAGGTGTGCTTATATACAGTGGGGTCCTTAAAATCTGAAACCACATCAAAAATTCAAACCTGGGAAGTTTTAGTAAAATGCAGGGCAAATGTAAAATGAAAATGGAATGTATAAGATTCTGCAATATTTCTAGGTCAGTAATAAAAAAAAAGTAAATTTGTGACACCTGACTTGATTATGAGTATCAAAGGAGTAATTCAGGTTGCATATAAATTAAGCACAATGAGCAGAATAATACTGATTAATAATTACACAAATAATACACACATAATTTCTACTTATGCCTAATTTCCTTTATAAACAAACACATACAGGGGAAGAAAATGGGTCCAATTTTAAAAGCAGAAATGAGAAGCATATAATTTTATGAAAGCACTTACATTAGTTCTTCTGTTATTATTTTTTAACTATTAAACATTGTTTATGTCTTGTGACTGTACTACTGAAACAGTGAGATGTTACAGGGTTTCTACTGGTTTTATGAAGGTAAATTTAAGACATTTTTAAGACCCATTTACAGATAAAAAATGTATATATATATATATAAAATAAATGTAACCATTTACAAATTGGCCCCATTCATTTCAGTTGTAAGTGCCTCACTCTAACCCAGATTTTTGCTTTTAAAAAAAAAAATGACGAGTCATAATTAATCTTTGTGGTTATCAACATTATGCCACAAAATGTTGAATGAGCTTAACTTGAATTTGACCCTAAATATGCCAACAATGGATGGACTTAAAAGACTGCCATTATATTATCTTGATATTGCAATCATCACAATCACAAGCTATATTAACTGCCTTAGTAATGTGTTGAAGGATAGCATCCTATATTCTTTATAACAGATTGCGTGACTGGTAGCATCTTAGAGCTGTGTTTTATTGTCACGTGACATTATTTTGTTGCTAGAGGAGGACAGGCCCAGATGAGTCTGGTTTCCTTCAAGGTTTTTCTCCAACACCTCATCACTGATGGAGTTTTTTTCCCCCCCTTGAGACAGACATCTGCGGCTGCTCAAAGTGATTCAATAATGTTCTTGATTTAATGCAGTCTGTGTCATTGAACCATGCATGTTCTGTAAAGCTGCTTTCAAGCAATCTGTGTTGTGAAAAGTGCTATACAAATGACATGAGTCGAATATTCACTAGTAGTCTCGGAGCTGCCTGATTGGTTTGGATGGGTCTAAAGGTCGCTGTTCTTGTTGTTTCAGATCAGCACCACAGAGGTGGAGACTCTTTTGGGTCGGCTGCCCTGCACGTTCAAGCAGGAGTTGACGGGTGTCGGGGCGAGTCTGGAGAAACGCTGGAAGTTCTGTGGGTTTGAGGGCATTAAGACGGCGTAGAGACACGGGTTTGGGTTCCTGCTAGAAAAACAAAAACAGCCGATGGACCGGAGGGGTCACAACCAATCACCTGCCAGCTCTCCGCGCCCATCCGGCCTCCCCATGAGATTCTAATCTCAGAAACACTCCAGACCTGGAGATCCTCAAGACTTTGGTGTGTGTGCGTGTGTGTAGTATGTTTTAGTATGTGAACACACGAGTGTGTGTGTGTGTGTGAACGGACCGTGCACTTGTACCACACAACGGAAATCTCATCGGGTGAAAATCAGGGTTTGCTGAACCGAGGACTTGAACTGTCAACATACATGTTCTTGTTTCACCTCTGATTTGTAAAAAAAGAAAAAAATATATAAATAACAGGAATATATTTCTTTTCTCTTCTGTATAGGCTGCAGAAAACAGTTGCATAGAATCTTTTGTTCACATATCCTGTAAATGTACATCAATATATTTCTTTTCTCTTCTGTATAGGCGGCAGAAAACAGTTGCATAGAATCTTTTGTTCACATATCCTGTAAATGTTTGAATAACTTGCTATTTTTAAATAAAAAAAGAACAACAAAATCTGCAACCAGGCTAATTGAATAGTTTAACAATCTAGGCTAGTGCGTCTAAAATCTTCAAAAGTTCCACTTTCAGCACCTCTGCTAATTAAAAGAGGAATCGTGGGATAAAGATACAAGATTTCCTCTCACTTCGGCCTCATTTATGCCACGCACGTCCGTTCAATCCTTCAGGCTTTTCCTGCTTAAGCCGGTGAAGCACTCTTCCGCTCTTCTCCACGTGATCTGAGCCGGTCTGCGGTGTTTTCCCATCTCGTATGGTTTGCTCTTTCATATGAATCTTCTTTATATATGGTGTTTTTTTAGAATGGCTTGCAGTGGGACTGGTAAGCAGCTCTGAACATGTCGAGCAGCACTTCTGTTTTTGCACAGAGCTTGTGAACTGTAATTAACAATCAGAGCGCTGCACGTATGTGTGGCGTGTGCAGCTGTGTGTGTGGGTGTTTGTCTGTTAGCCAGCAGCAAACGTCTCGTCTCGAGAAGACTTCCGGCGGCACAGTCAAGCGTCCCTAATGCTCTTCTGTTGTGCAATTTGTAAGGTTATTTTTTCACTTATTGCTGAGAGAAACTAAAGCTTTATTACACATGATTGGTTCCCACTGCCCCTTTTCCATTTTCTTAGGCCATGTGTATGAAAAATTAGTTTCAAATGCTTGTCAGACATTTGGCCTCTCAAACATGAATTAATAATGGTTAATGATTGTTTCTTCCGTCGTCGAACAAGCCTTAATTCATTATTATTTATTTTTGCCATGCATTTTTAATATTGACACTTCAGATGGACTGAAATATAAGTGAACAGAACATGAACAAGTAGAGGGTTTTTACCAAGAGGATTCTGTCTCTTAAATATGAATATTTCAATGGTCTGTTTTTTGTCCCATGTTGCGGCGTGCTGTTTAAATATCCCATCATTCCAGCTTAATATAACTTTAATCAACAACATTTGTGGAATACCACTAAAATGTGTTTTTAACTCGTCCCATTTTCTGAAATTAATTAAGAAATACAAATCAGAATTTTGGTGAGGCACTTACAATGGAAGTGATTGGGGACCATTTTTGGAAAGCTGATCATTTTATAAATCACCTATATTAATAATTCTGTTAAAATGTTGGATTACGTGAGCTTAAAGTTTTCATGTTTTAAGGTTGTTAAAAAGTGTGTGTGTGCGCTCAAGTGAGTGAGTGAGTGAGTGAGTGAGTGTGTGTGTGTGTGTGAGTGTGAGTGTGTACATGTTTTTCTACACTGGTGGGGACTTAAACCTGAATACACACCAACTCATGGGGACTTGTGTCATGTGCCATGGGTACAGAAGCTTATAAATCATACAGAATGAGTTTATTTGAGATGGTAAAAATGCAGAAAGTTTTCTGTGAGGGGTAGGTCTTAGGTGTAGGGTTGGTGTAGGGCGATAGAAAATACAGTTTGTACAGTATAAAAACCATTACACCTATGGAGAGTCCCGACAAGGATAGTGAACCAGACGTGTGTGTGTGTGTGTGTGTGTGTTTTCATGGCAACATTAGTTGTGAATTTAAATATATTTCAGATTGGCCCTATTTACTTCCACTGTTACTGTAACACAAATTTTGTTTTTAAAAAGAAATTCTATGTATAATTTAATTAAAAACAATATAAGTTATAACAATTCTAACAAGTCTTTACTATCACTTTCTGTCAATTAAACATCCTTGCTGAATAAAATTATCAATTTCTTTGATTAAAAAAAAAGGAAAAAATTTGACTGACCCCAAACTTTTGAACAGTAGTGTATATTATTACAAAATATTAATATTTTAAAGAAATGCTCTTTTTTTTTTTTTTTTACTTTTTATTCCTGAAAAAAAATTCTTTAAAGGGGTCATGAACTGCCTTTTTTATTTTTATTTTGTGTACTGTTCTCTGAGGTCTACTTATAATGTTATCAAGATATTTACATCTAAAACCATCATAATTTATAAGTAATAGGCTATTTTCTGTTCTGTTTCGACCCCCTCATCAGAACGCTCTGTTTGAATAGATGTGGTGGATTGTAGACTCGGAAGTAAACGCCACTGCTGTGATTAACTAACAGTTGTGTGTGTTTGACAGCCTTCACAGACGGACGCTGCTGTGATTTAGGTTAAAAACGCCAAAATACTCGGTACATATCAAACAACCTGTAATAACAGACAAAGCAATAGTGACCACATAATAAAACCAGTCACTCACACTTGTGTGGTGCGACATTACTGTCAGATCAATATTCAGCACGGCATCGTCTTTTAGTTTCAATCTTTCTGAAAACCCTGCATCGAATTGTGCCGTTTGTAAACGAATCCGTGCTAAAATGAAGCGAACAAAGGACCAAGTTCTTACTGACGCGGTCTGGAACTCCATTACAAATAAAGTTCATCCACTCTTTCCTAATGTTGAGATCAGAAGGAAGGCAATAGCTTGGCACTGAACAGCGGAGCATCTTTATCGTTTGGTTTCTGCGTAGACCTGCGTTTGCCTCTCTCATTATTTACACTATATGCACGAATCGGTGAGCGGGGCTAAACAGGCAGTGATGTAGAAGCAGGCGTTGATCATCTTCACCGGAGGCAGTGTTTAGCCACACTATTACGTCATAAAGTGGCTCATTCCACAACCTGCCGTTTTAGCAGATTGGTTTCAATATAAGCTGATTTTAGACGAACAAGAAAGTTGAGTTCTGAAACTTACATGATGTTTTTAATAGTACAATGACCTTTTATATATCAAAAGATCAAGGGAATTTTGATTTCTCAGTTCATGACCCCTTTAAAACACCATTAGTAAAATGGATGATATTTGTATTAAATGCACAATAACACATATCCAAGTCTACAAGTATTGGAAAGCATAACGTAACCAACTTCACGCAGAACAAGCAAGCCATGAAAAATCTTCTGGTTTATCACCGTTGTGCTTTTCAAATATATAATTTCTTAAATCCTATAATATTAAGCATTAGTAATGTTATGCTTTTTTTTTTTTTTTAAAGTAGCATATATTATGTAACTATGTGAAAATAACCAAACCAGGTCTGTGCAGAAACAACATGTCCAACTCTCCAGTGTTTGTCCTAGATTAGCCTTCAAATCCTGAAGGGAGCTTAGGTGATAAGGAAGTCATGGTGACTTAGTTAACTTTGTGTAACAGCGTTGCTCTTAAGTCACATTTATTAAATCTAAATGAGCGAGGCCTTTGCTTAATGAGTTTTGATTTGTGACCGCACCGCCCGATAAAGATCTTAAGGATATGCGAAGACGAAATTGTCTGTGACGGTTCGAGAGCGGCCACTTTACGCTTGAGTGACTGGCCATTAGCAATGATTTGAAGGGCTGGTTATAAAGTTCACCTCCAGTCAATCGTCGTCCTTCTCCAACTGTTTGCAGATGCACTCTGTCTGAATCTGTAAATGAGTCTTTTGACTTCAAAACAAGTTAAGCTTTATTGACGTTGACACTAATGCTGACTCGTTATGTCAAACGAAAATTGTGTTTGCAGTAATGCACTTACAGTGAAGTTTATGGCACATTCTAGAGGTTTAAAACAGCAATGTGGAGCCTGTTCAGGCATATGATGACTACACCTATAAACTCAGCGTCATGATGAAGACAAAAGCCTCATTAAAAGAATTAAGTAATAAGGTAAAAGTAGCAGTGGTGGACGAAGTACACAAATCAAGTACTTGAGTAAAAGTACAGATCTGTATAATAAAATATTACTCCAGTAAAAGTAAAAGTACTCAGTTTTCAATTTTACTCGAGTGAAAGTACATAAGTACTTGATATTTTATGTACTTAAGTAAAAAGTACCGATATATGAATGTTTATTTTGCAGTTTTATATAAGCTACTTTTATCATAAAATTTTATACTAGCATATATTTTTTTTAATAATCCTACTGGATTACTGAATACCTGGGATTTTCCCAAAATAACCAATAAGGAAATAATGAATCTAAAAACTTGCCACTGTTGTGACATTAATGAATTAATAATTCATGATATTTGTAAAAATAAATCTTGACAAAAAATTTTTTAATGATTTAAAAAAAATTATAATTAAAATGTGTACACACATCATATCTGAGGCATTTGAGGTGTAAGGAAAATATGTTTTACTTGGTTACACCACATGATATCATTAAGTGAGACATTAAATATACATACATAACATACACTTAGATATAAAAAATAAAAATCTTGAAAATGGTATAAAAGTTTGGTATCAAAACGAAATATGAATACAAACAAATACGAAAACATATAGTGCATTTCTCAGAACTTGCCACATTGTTTAGTTTTTTCTTCTCTCTCTATCATGTTTATAAGTATTGTGGCTGCAGACTTTCACTGTAAAAGTGCATGACGGAAAACAACATTTGCTTATTTTTACAAACTTAGGGACAAGTCTAAATGATTTTCAGTGGTAATCAACAGCAGCATGCCACAGATTATGTGTACAGCTCAAGTTAGATTGAACCAGAACACAGAAAATACTTCCTACTGCAATATAAACCTTTGCCATTATCTTCTGAACATGCTGCTGAACGGAAACGCGTGCTCGAATCTCTCCAGCCCCGGTGTGAGTTACACTGTATTTCCCAGACAGTCTTTTCAGTGCCGTGTACAACAAGGGGTGAAAGACAAGAAAAAGAAATCTATTTTGAGACCGAGCTGAGA